GAACAGCCGGAAGTGCGCCACATCGTCGAACCCCTGCGGCAGGGGCTCCTCCCCGGCCTCGATGGCCCGGCAGAGCCGCGCCCCGGCGCACTCGGTGTCGTAATTCGCAAACCCGGTGGACGTGGCCACCACCTCGGTGCTCGTGCTTTCGGCGGCCGAGGAGAATGCCCGCATATGGAGCAGCGACATGCCCCTGGGAGCCATGACCTGCGACGTTGTCGCATACACGCCGCCGTTGGTGACCAGGGGGGACGCTGGGCCCCGGGCGGCCGGTGTATGACCCCCGGCCAGAGGCCAGCCCCGCCGGGCCGCCACCGCCGTCGCCAATGCCGGCGAGCCCCACGCACGCAGGGCTCGCACGGCCGTCCTTGAAGCCAACATATGGTGAGAGAGAGAGAGAAAGAAAGAAAGAGAGGGGAGGGGGAAACAGAGGTTGCCATGTGCCCCAAGAGAGGCCCCCCGCCCATGCGTCCCCCACGCCCACAAATAGATCCCCACACAGTCTCTCCACAGTCCCGGCGGGGGACCCGGCGAGCGAGGAGACACCCACGAGCGCAGATCGCACACCGCTGGAGACGCACCAAACACACAAGCCAGACAAAGGCTTCCCCATCCAACAACCCGTTCGTTGGCTGTTGGCTTCACATTATCAAGTCATATAAACTCACATTTTGCTTATGCAAAAGGACTTTTACTAGAACACACACGCATGATACCAGTCCGGCGGACTCACCTTTTACGCATACCATTCTGCAATCCGCAGCAAGGAAGGATCGCGTGCCTGTCTCGTGTGTCCCCGCAAGAGACCACAATGCCCTCTGGATTTCCCCGGTGTTCGTCGTGTGTCTTGATCGTGCGCGTGCGCGGCCCCCCATAGCCCGATTGCTCGCGCAGGGGGATGTCTTTCCCTTGGTCGCCCCTTCCCCATAATCCATAACCGGAGGGGGGCCACCTGAAAGGGGATCGTTGCCCGTTCGCGCGAGAGGAGAAGGCATCCTCATGAACCACAGCCTACTTCCCCCCCGCCCCCTCCTCTCCTTCACTTGCCTCTTGCTGCTCCCCCTTCCGCTCGGGTCGACC